AAAAAAAAAAAAAAATTACCTGGGCATAGTGGCACATGCCTGTAGTCCCAGCTACCTGGGAGGCTGAGGTAGGAGAATCATTTGAACCCAGGAGGGGGACGTTGCAGTGAGCTGAGATCATGCCATTGCACTCCAGCCTGGGTGACAAAAGTGAAACTCTGTCTCAAAAAAGAAATAAGATTTTATTATAAAATAGGCTTTGTGTTACATGATTTGCCCAACTGTAGACTAAAGTCAGCATTCTGCTCATGTTTAAGGTACGTTAGGCTAAGCTACAATGTTTGGTAGGTACAATGCCTTAAATACATTTTTGACTTAACACTATTTTCTTCTTATGATAGGTATATCAGGACATGATCCCATTGTAAGTGGAGAAGCATCTGTATTTAACAAATAATTACAAGGAATAAATAAAGGAGGGTTGGGCACGATGCCTGGATACCAGTACATGCTCAATAAACTTTAGTTTCCTTATGCAACTGTCTGTAGCACCCACATGGCCAGATTCAGAATGCGATCTTCTGAATATAGCAGAACAACCTATTGACAGGAAGATGCTGATTTTTTTATTTTTTGAAGCAGAGTCTTGCTCTGTCTCCCAGGCTGGAGTGCAAATGGCTCAATCTCGGCTCACTGCAACCTCCTCCTCCCGGGTTCAAGCAATTCTCCTGCCTCAACCTCTTCAGCAGCTGGGATTACAGGGATCTCCCACCACGCCCAGCTAATTTTTGTGTTTTTTAGTAGAGATGGGGTTTCACCATGTTGGCCAGGCTGGTCTCGAACTCCTGATCTCAGGTGATCCAACCGCCTCAGCCTCCCAGACTGCTGGGATTATAGGCGTGAGCCACCACGCCCGGCAATGCTTAATTTTTAAAATACATGAAGGCTATTATAGCTCCACCCATGCTATCATCGAATGTGAAGGAAACTGTTGGGACCAGAAGAGGTGTCAGGCTGGCTTAGGTTTCAGGGGAAGCACCCGAGACACCCCAGCTTTCTGAGACCTTGGCGGCCTCGCCAAGCACCTTGATATGGTTCCATGTTCCTGTATTTCTCGGAGGACGTAAAAGTGTTCAAAGCCATGGAAACAGCACACGAGGGGTGCCAAGATTATGACTTCATTTCCTACAGGGTTCCCCGGCCTCTGTTACAGGACACTATTTTGAGGTTGGATTATATATTTTTAGGTTATCTGGAAAATAATTGTGGCTTTAAATAATAAAATTCTGAGTGACATCTGTCAGCCCTGATTACTCTGAGGCTGCTAAGCTGCATTTTCTTTCATTTTCATTTTTAAAAGTGCAGTGAAGTAAGTGTTACCCAGAGAGGTTTGTGAGAGTCTGCAGGGTTGTGTATTAAACACTCTCTTGAAACTGGTCCCAAAGGCTTGTCCCAGGGACCTAGCAACAGGCCTGGGTTGGTACACCCAAGAGCTGAGCGGGAAAACACTGCTCAAAGCAGGAAGTGGGACTGAGGCTCCTGCAAGGAAGCACAGGGGCATCTGGTCAACCTTCATTTCACCAATGGAGAAGCAGAGGCCCAGGGAGGTCGGAGACACACCTCGATGTACAGACAGCCATGGTGAAAGACAACAAGAGGCAGGTCTCCCCACAGCTTCATTCAGGATTCTCTGAGTTGCACTGTGAGACCCGTGTCTTCTCATTCTATGAGTAGCACATCAATAAGGTTCTTATTCTACTGACCCATTCCAGAAATCATCTCACAAAAGGGTTCCTCTACATAAACCTCTGCTCTTCCTCTATATTTTCAAGATTCAACCATTGTTCCTACTCAGAAAAGTGTGTCTTTTTTTTTTTTTTTTTTAAGAGTTGGAGTCTGGCCAGGCACAGAGGCTCCCGCCTGTAATCCTAGAACTTTGGAAGGCCAAGGTGAGTAGATTATCTGACGTCAGGAGTTTGAGACCACCCTGGCCAACATGATGAAACCCCGTCTCTACCAAAAATACAAAATTAGCTGGGCTAATTAGTGGTGGTGCATGCCTGTAATCGCAGCTACTCGGGAGGCTGAGGCAGAACTGCTCGAACCCAGGAGGTGGAGATTGCAGTGAGCCAAGATCGCGCCACTGCACTCCAGTCTGGCCAACAAGAGCAAAACTTCATCTTAAAGAAAAAGAGAGAGAGAGAGAGAAATGGGGTCTCACTATGTGGCCCAGGCTGGACTCGAACTCCTGGCCTCAAGCAATCCTCCCACCTTGGCCTCCCAAAGTGCTGGGATTGTAGGTATAAGCCACCACACTCAGCCTTGAAACAGATCTTTTATGACTACCTGTTGGTTATCCATCACATGAGTCTCACCTAGTATGGGACTGGTGGTTTAGGAAATACCTGTGGCTGTTGCAGCTTGGTCCTGTGGGGAAAGTGCCCTCTGCAAAATGAACTTGGAATGTCTGGGTTCAGGCAGTCTCTTCCTCAGAAAGCAGGAACCCCTGGACCATCTACCAAAGGCCATTCTCCCTCCACGCCCTGAGCATCAATAGCTTACTGACCCTCTTCTTCAACAGAGGAAAAAATGGATACAAAGGAAGGTTATTTGTGTCCAACATCTTGAGGTCGATGCCTGTGAGTGCCAAAAACACATCAGAAATTCATCTAGGAGCAATGAAAAGTTGTTAAGAATCAAACTCGTTTTTTTTCGTGGGTATGATTTACAGACTCCTCCTTTTTCCCACAAATAAGTTTGATCAGCATGCATTTCATATCTGAATTAGGACCTTAATTCAGGGACCAGCACAGGGAAAGCGGCCAACAAGCACCTGATGAATAGAGGGATGAATCTGGAAGGTCAGCGTTTTAAAAGAAGCTATTTGATGGGTAAATGCATGTAAAATAAGCACATACTTCATTATGTGGGACAAGAGATGGGGGATGGGTTGGGAGTTCCATTCACACTGATGAGAACCCCATGTTAAAAGTTTCCAGGCTTGGCCAAGGCCGAGTGCAGTGTCTCATGCCTGTAAACCCAGCACTTTAGGAGGTCACGGTGGGCAGATCACTTTAGTTCAGGAGTTCGAGGCCAGCCTGGGCAACATGGCAAACCCTACAGAAAAATATAAAAATTAGCCAGGTCTGTTGTCCCAGCTACTCAGGAGGCTGAGGCAGCGGGAAGGCTTGAGCCCAGGAGGCAGAGGTTGCAATGAGCTGAGATCGGGCCACCGCACTCCAGTCTGGGAAACAGAGTAAGACATTGTCTCAAAAAAATAAAAACAATAAAGATGTTGAAGTGTTTCCAGGCTTTGAACCATCTTTCCTGATAAAGACCTCTGTGATGTGGTGGTGGAGGTGGGGGCAGGTTCTCCACATGTTACCAAGCAGAAGACCAAGGGAATGAGACAAGGAGATGCTATCCCAGGTCTGCAGTGAATGAATTGAAAAGCTGAGACTAGCTCTCAGTCTGTTTCTCTTACTTGGTATTTTCTATTCTCTTCAGATGGTGTTTTAAAGCCTTAAATCTCTCAAAAAATACATCTTAACACATCACACCGAAAGCTTTCAGATTCTAAGTTAGGAGACAATGAAATCATCCCATATCCCCTCAGCCTTGCCAAGAACTGATGTCTAAACCACGTCACCATTTGTGGCCTTTAAGCCCTGGCTAAACAATCGTAATCACATTTCTGGAAATCTAGGAATGGTGGCTGCCAAAAAGCACTGAAGTATTAGACCACACCTCAAAGCTTTCTGGGCAGTGAACACTAGAAATAAGGAACTTTGCAAGATTATCTGCCTAAAGAATCCACCCTCATCCTGCAGGCTTCCAATTCCCCATCTAAAATACAAACTACACCTCGAAGCCCCCAGACAAGATAACAGCTCCCTGGTCAGGAATATAGGAGGTGCCCAATACAAAGGAAATACAGAAGACTTAGGGTCTGTGATACACAGGCATTAAAAACTCTCTGCTCTACATGTGATCCATCCATACAATGGAATATTATTCAGCCCTAAAAAGGATGGAGATTCTGATACGTGCTACAATGTGGATGAACCTTGAGGATGTTAGACTAAGTGAAATAAGCCAGTCACAATATCTTTCCTATGGGGAACACAGAACAGCCAGATTCGTAGAGATGAAAAGCAGAATGATGGTTCCAGAGGCTGGGGAGACAAGAGAATGGGAAATGACTTTCATCGGGATACAGTTTCAGCTTTGCAAGATAAAAAACGTTTTGTGGATGGATGGTGGTGATGGTTGTACATTATAAATGTACTTAATGCCACTGAACTGTACACTTAAACATGGTTAACATGGGAGCCAGGCACAGTGGCTCACACCCGTAATCCCAGCACTTGAGGAGGCCTAGGCAGGAGAACTGTCTGAGGCCAGGAGTTCAAGACTAGTCTGGGCAACATGGTGAGACCCTATCTCGAAAGAAAGAGAAAGAAAGGTGGGGGGGGGGGGGGGGGGGGGGAAGGAAGTACATTGGGGGGGAGGGAGGGAAGGGAGGAAGGAGG